GAAGATGGTAGCGGTGAGATCGACCTTCCGCCGATGTTGTACGCAGTTGTCGGTAAAGATCCCGCGAAGAAAACGGTTCTTATTTATGGACATCTCGATGTGCAACCTGCCGATATTCATGACGGTTGGAATTCTGAACCATTCCAACTGGTCGAAAGGGTTCGCTTTTCCTCATTCGTTTGCCTATTTTCACCGTCTTTCCGAATGCAATAACTTACCTTCTAAACATTTCAAAATTCCTTCACTCGGAAAAAATTTTTGTCTTTCAAAGTTTCAGCGATTTTTCCAAACCATACATGTTTTAGAACTGAACTTATTTTGTTCGTTAGTGTCAAAATCTGTGAGGCTATTGATAATGTACTAATAAAGTGTGATTTGTACAATATTCTGTAGGTAAAACAAGATTTCGAGTGAACTGTTGAGAAATTTCATTTTAAGTGACTTTCAATTTTAGGATGGAAAATTGTTCGGTCGTGGATCTACGGATGATAAAGGTCCAGTGGTGGGTTGGATAAATGTACTTGAGGCGTTCCGCGCGAATAAAATCGAAATCCCTGTCAATATTAAGGTGATCATCTGTGCTATTTGTCAGTGCTGTAATGGAATTTAAGAATATTTAATAGTTTCTTTAATTGTAGTCTAATTCTGAAGCGTGAGTCTGAATATTCTGAAGTGTAGGAATCCTTTCGAGTGTTTTTTAATGAACGGAGTTCTGGTTGCAGTTTTGTTTGGAAGGAATGGAAGAGAGTGGCTCGTTGGGTCTCGAAGAATCGCTGAAGGCGAATCGAGAGAAAATGCTTTCGGATGTCAGCTTCACTTGTATCTCAGACAACTATTGGCTAGGCACTAAGAAGCCGTGCATTACCTATGGTCTTAGGTTGGTGTTGCCTTTTGACTTATGCTTGTTCCGATTATCTCTGTTCTGTAACAATATTAGTTTGATGGACGATGCGTATTCGACGGTTGATTGCTTAGAATTGTGACCTTATTTGCTTTTAATTTCAGAGGTAATTCCTATTACTGCATTGAGATAATCGGTTCCAAACAAGACTTGCATTCGGGTGTGTTTGGTGGTGCATTGTAAGTTAATTCTTCAAATTTATCTAATGATGAACTCTAATTTGCATTTCTTAATTAACATAATTATTTTTAGCACAGTGGAAATCAAATAATATATAGTGGATAATATGAATGTATTGCGAATGTTTAGCACTGCGTTTTCACATGGTTTCAATTTTGTCTTCGGCTTCCGCTGAATTTCAGTATCACTGTTATTTCAAAGCTGAAAAAAATGATTCCATCATATTTACGAGTTATGCGAACATTCGAGAATTCTCACCAGTAAGTGACTGTCGAACTTCAGATACGAACCAATGTCAGATTTGGTGTGGATGATGTCGCAGTTGATCGATTTGAACGGTAAAATTCTTATCGATGGCGTTTACGACATGGTTCCGGCAGTGACCGATGCCGAGCGAGCTTTATATGAGAATATTGATTTCGATGAGGCAAGTGTTTCATGTTTAAGGTTTTATTAATGTTCAAGATTTTATTAGATATTCATTCAGATGTTTGCGTGATCGAATTGAAAATTGGAGCACTTTTAATTGAAACGACTGAAACTATTTCATTTCAAATGAAATTATTCTCATAATGAATGATTGTATCGATCACCGAACTTTTGCAAAATCCTTCCAAATTGATAATTGTTCCAGTGATAGTTCTCTGAACAAGTAGTAGGGTAGAGATTTTATAGGTAGTTATCAGCTGAATATAACTCATAATAAAGAGACAATTCATTTGTTGAAAGTGAATGATGTTTTTTGAGAAATGCGTTAAAGGCATTGAAGGAAATTTATTTGAATGATGGCATAATTTGGTAGTTTTAGAATGAGTATCGAGAGTCGGTTGGAGCGAAGAAATTGATGAAGTCATCCAAAGTTGAATTGCTGATGAGTCGTTGGCGAAATCCATCATTATCACTTCACGGTGAGCATTTAATTTGCTTCACTCTTCTTCTCCTATCTATTTTCCCATTATCGATGTCTCTTTTCTAAACGAAGTTGTCTAACGCACAGGTGTGGAGGGTGCATTCTCTGGCGTTGGAGCGAAGACCGTAATTCCATCGAAAGTGATCGGTAAATTCAGCATTCGAACCGTTCCGAATATGGACATTCATAAATTGGATAAACTCGTTTACGATTATACAGATAAGAAGTGGAAAGAACGCGGATCACCGAATCAGTTCAAGTATTGAACCAATTATCCACTCTTCATTTGTTTTTTTTTTGTATTTTCGTCCCATTAAATGTAACTAATACTTTTCAGATGTTATATCTATCATTCCGGA